TTCCACTGGTCAAATCACCAACTTCAAGGTTTCTTTCTTCAAACTTTGCAATTCATTAGTAAATTTTTTTCGAGAGACAAATACGCTTTTTTGTATTTTTTTCAGTACACAGCGTGACAATGCCTATGTAGGGGTCAATATATTATAGGCCTGCATTAAATGAACACAGGAAAATAGCATGGAAGTTCCTCAAAAATGAAAAATAGAACTACCATGTGATCCAGTGATCTCATTTCTGAGACTATTTCCAAAGGGATTGAAATCAGGATCTCAAAGAGATGTTTCCACTCCCATGTTCACCGAAGTACTGTTCACAATAGCCAAGAGGTGTAAGCAGCACGAATGTCCATCCGTGGAGGAATAGATAAACAAAATGTGGCATATATTAAAACATAAATGGAATATCATTTAGCCTTAAAAAAGAAGAAAATCCTACTATTTATAGATGGACAGACCTGGAAGACATTATGCAGAGTGAAATAAGTCAGTCACAGAAAGACAAATACTGAATGATTCTTCTTATATGAGTCATCTAAAATAATCAAAGGAATAGGAAGAGACAATAGAATGGTGGTTTCCAGGGGTTGGGAGATGGGGATAGGGCAGTTTTTCAATAATGTAAAGTTACAGTTATACAAGATGAGTAAATTCCAGAGATCTGCTGTACATCATAGTTCCTACAGTTAACAATATGGTATTGTGCACTTAAAAATTTCTTAAGAGGGTATATCTCATATTATGTGTTCTTATCAGAAAAAAGAAAGAAAAGAAAAACAAAAATAAAATCCAAAGAGATATAAGGAAACTTCTGAAGGTGATGGATATATTGTGATGATGGTAACAAGAATGTATGTGTATGTGCAAACTCATCAAATTGTATACACTAATTATGTGCAGTTTTTTGTATACCTACTATACTTTAATAAAGCTGGAAAATATGAATACATCTCAGAAAAAGAGTTCCATGTATTGTTTTGCAAATAGATATAATGTAAGACATAATAATTTATTTAACATATGGAAAGGTTACTGTAATTCCTGTCATTTTACCAAGCTGTCTCTAGAGCTTGGCATCCATTATAGTAGCCACTGTGCTCACTACAGAGGACTTAAAATATTGATAGTTCAAATAGAGATGTTTTGTAAGTATAAAAGACACATCAGATTTTGCAGACTTAATGAGAACAAAAGTAAAATGTGTCAATAGTTCTTACAATACTTATAAATTGAGATGATAATATTTTGAATATCCTGGGTTAGATAAAATATATTATTAAAATTAGTTTCAACTGTTTCTTTTTAATTTTTAACGTGGCTGCTAGAAAATTTAAAATTATCTCATATTTGGCTCATATTTGTGGCTCATATTCTATTTATGTTGGACAGTACTGCTTTAAGGAGCATTGAATAGAGAAAAACAATTGTTCTGTATGCTTCTTCCATTTATACCATAATTTATGACCATTAAGAAAACATCTATGGCCTCTTTCTAATAAGAATAACATAATAGCAGGGAAACAAACAATCCAATTAAACTACAGGCAAAGAAACTGAATAAAAATTTATCTAAAGAAGACATACAAATGGCCAACAGATATAATAAAAATGCTCAATATCACTAATCACCAGAAAAATGCAAATTAAAACCACGGTGATATACCACCTCACACCTGTTAAAATGACTATTATCAAAAAGACAAAAGATAATAAGTGTTGGCAAGGATGTGGAGAAAAAGAACCCTTGAGCACTGTTAGTAGGAATATTAATTAATACAGCCATTATGGAAAATAGTATAGAAGTTTCTAAAAATATTAAAAATAGAAATACTACATAATCCAGCAATACCCCTACTGGGCATATATCCAAAGGAAATGAAATCGGTGTTGAAGAGATATCTGTACTTTTCTGTCTATTGTAGAATTATTCACAATAGCCAAGATATAGAATCAACCTGTGTCCATCTATGAATAAATGGATAAAGAAAATATGGTATATATACACAGTAGAATACTATTCAGCCATAAAAATGAAAGGAAGCTTGTCAGTTGCACAACATGGATGAACCTGGAGGACATTATGGTAGGTGCAATAAGCTAGGTACAGGAAGACAAAGACTGCATGATCTCACTCATATATGGAATCTAAAAAAGTTGATCTCATAGAAATAGAGAGTAGAATTGCGGTTACCAGGGACTGGGGTGGTTGGAGGGGTGGTTGGGAGACGTTGGTCAATAAATACAAAATTTCAGTTAGATAGGAGGAATAAATTCAAGAGGTCTATTGAATAACGTGGTTACTATAGTTAACAATAAATTGTATTCTTGAAAAATGCTAAGAAAGTGGATGTAAAGTATTCACACCACGAAATGATAACATATGCAAACTAGCTGGATTTAGTCATCTACAATGAATATATACTTCATAACATCATGTTGTCACAATGAATGCATATAATTTTTATCTATCTATATAAAACAATATACATATATTAGACATTTCTTAACAAAAAGAATGCTCAGAAACTTTAGGAGAATATTAGGATGCTTTTTGGAGTTAGTTGCAGTGGAAGAAGTTTTACTAAATTTTGGTTTGGGGGAACTTAGCAAGAGTCACAAATGGAGCAGCATTTGGAATATCGAGGCTACAAGTTATAAAAGCATTGGAGACAGAAACTTTGATTTCAGTGAAATCAGCAGAGGCTCTACATATCGGATGCTCTTATAAGGGAGCAACCCTTGACCAGCCTACGCCTGATCCACATGTACCTACCTTTAGGAACTGTAGTTTCTATACTCCTGGCCTCACAAGTTTCACCTTGTCGTAAAACACTAGAGATAATTGCTGAGTAAATGACTAGTATTGGAGCAGCAGAATATTATTTAATGTCCAGATCAGGGGACAGAAGTATCTAGGGAGTCAGGACACAGGTTATATCCTCCATTGAATTAGGGAGTAGGAAATCCCTAGAGATAAAATTTGAGCAGAAGATAGAGTCTCTAAGGAGACATTGTGAGCATCTTAGTTTGGATATAAATACAGAGATGTCAAGGTTTCCTGAGAGAGGCTCTGTCTCTGGGTAGTAATCCCCAAACATGAAATAAAATCCTTTGTGCTGTATCACTAGGAGGACATTTTACTTTGCTGCCACTGGAGTGAACTTGGCAGAAGGCCAGTGAAATAGATGCTTGACTTTTAGCTCTGGAGGAGTCCCAGGGTGATTCAGAAATGGAGGTCTGTGTTCTGACACCCTCAGCACTTTAGGCAGCTGAGCGGTCTGTGACAGGGCTCTTCCCACCTATATAATTGAAACCATTTTAACTAAAAACACTGTTAAAGAGAGAAATTAAGGACCAGCATTGGGTTCTCAAGAAGAAAAACCTGTGAGTATCCTACTTCAAAATCTCTTTGAAGAATTCTTTCACCCTCTAACTTCCCAGCCAATGGAGCAAAGGGCTCTGTCAGAACCATCTGTCCTTTTACTGGAGACAGCTCTAAGTGTGAGGGTCTTCTTACTGAAGGATCTAGAAGTGGGGACACAGACAATGTAGACAGAAAATGAGGGTCACTGTGGCATCAGGCAGACCTTGGGTTCTTAAGGCTTTCCTCAGTGAGAAGATCCAAACTCCATGGTCTTCCCGTTATTTGGTCTTGGGCAATGTCCAGTTCCTGTGCTAAAATATTACATAGCCATCTTTGAAATAGAGACAGAATTTTTGCGGAGTCCAGACTGGTAAGGGAAGAGCACAGACAAAGACACTAAGAGCAGAAATAAGAATCATATGTGAGTAATATCCGAAGAAGGGTCATTTTGAGTTGGCTTTTATTCCACGACTACCACGATCTATGAATTGAGTGCCTGCTGTGTTAGGACCACATGTAGAAAGAATACATAATAAATAAGGCAGACAAGGTCCTGGTCTTCATGAATACAGTTATAGTCTAGCAGGAGACAAGGCATTAACTAATTAATTACGTAAATGCCACCACATTACTAACACCATTTTCATCAATGAGTCCTAGTCTATCTCTCATCCCATTTGTAAGTCTCCGCTACCCCCCTGAAACCTTATCTGTCCCTCAACTCCAGCTGTCTGACTGTGCTTCCATGAGTTGCTCTCTAGTTCTCACCTTAACCCTGACTTGGCTCCCTATACTTTGCTTCATTCCTTAGTTTCTCCTCATCCCTCACTCTACCCCAGAGTCTTATTCCACCTCCAATACCATAGTCCAGATTTGAAGCCTTCCCTGCCCCGTTCATCTTGGCTTTTATTGCACCCTCACCCATCCATTCTCAATCTCCCACCATTCCTCACTGCACCTTTGAACATTATCCCATCCCCTGAGCCTTAGGCAATATTCAGACTTTACTCTATTCCTTATAATATCCATTAACCTTCCTGCATTGCTGGCCTTCTCTCTGTCTTTGGACCTCATTCTATCAATGACCACATCTATCAGAATGACTCCATCCTTAAACCTTCTTTCCTCACTTCACCTGTGTACCTCACACAATGCTGACCCTCACTCATTCTGAGAATCTGACCCACACCATCTCTGATGTGCACCCATCCTTCTGAGTTGAAAGCTAGGGATTGGATGAGATTCAGTGAGATGTGAAACAACACACGGTTAAAAAAAAGTGGAAAGTTCAATATTTGAGCATCATGAAACACATATGTATGCCATAATATCAACTCTATTAAAAGCGTTCTGCCAAATTATCATGGACTTCATGTTTTCCTACGCTTATACCTTAACATGACCTGCAGGTCTACATAGGCTCCAGCTGCACCAGACTTCTCTCTTAAGGCAACCTGGAAAATTCCTCTGACACTGCAGAGTTTCTACAAGTCAGAAGAGGTTGCTGCACATCCTGGGGTGTGAAAGAGCACCTTAAGAGTCTAGAGAATGACATTTCAAGGGTGAGAAATGACCCAGAAGAACTCGTTTTCCTCTAATTGGCTTTTCTTTCATCTCCATAGTCAGCTCCTACAAAAGAATGACACATGGAAATGCCTCCTTGGTGACAGAGTTTATCCTCGAGGGTTTGACTGACCGGCCAGAACTTCAACTCCCCCTCTTCTTCCTATTCCTAGGGGTCTATCTGGTTACAGTGGTGGCCAATTGGGGCTTGATTACATTAATTTCACTAAACTCACACCTTCACACACCCATGCATTATTTCCTGTTTAATCTGTCTTTCATAGATATCTGTTACTCTTCTGTCTTTACCCCCAAAATGCTCATGAATTTTGTATTGGAGAAAAACACCATCTCCTATACAGGGTGCCTGACTCAGCTCTACTTCTTCTGTTTCTTTGTCATTGCTGAATGTTATATATTGACAGCAATGGCATATGATCGCTATGTTGCCATTTGCAAGCCACTGCTATATAATGTTATATTGTCTCCTCGGATCTGTACTTTGTTTGTGTTTGGGGCATATGTGATGGGATGTTGGGGTTCCCTAGCCCACACTCTGTGTATGGCAAGACTGACCTTCTGTGATGTCAACATTGTCAACCATTATCTGTGTGATATACTCCCAGTGCTGCAGCTTTCCTGCACCAGCACCTACAGCAATGAGGTTGTGGTCTTTGCTCTGGTTGGCATGAACATTCTGGTGTCTACCAGCACCACGTTCATCTCCTATGCTTTCATCATCTCCAGCATCTTCCGCATTAGCTCCACGGAGGGCAGGGCTAAAGCCTTCAGCACCTGCAGCTTCCACTTAATGACTGTTTCACTTTTCTTTGGGGCAGCAGCATTCATGTATCTCCAACCTTCTGATGCAGAGTCTATGGACCAGGGCAAAGTGGCTTCAGTCTTTTATACAAATGTTGGGCCCATGCTGAACCCCTTGATCTACAGCTTGAGGAATAAGGATGTCAAACTTGCTCTGAAGAAAACTTTAAGATGAAAAGTATTTTCCTAAGCAGGAGCAGAGCTTGTATAAGCCATTTTCAGCACTGGTTTATTCGGTTTTGTTGGGATTTCTTCATAATAAAATAGAATACATTTTCTCCCTTAATTCAGGGCCTTTCTTTCTTTCTTTAAAGAAATTTCTTAATTCTTCCTTTCTCCTCTCTGTTTATCTTTTACAAATATAATTGTATAATTAAAACATTTTTCCTTAATGTTAAGGAAAATTTTGTCTTTTGCTATATGAAATGACATTTATCTTTTGGACAAATATTGTTGATGCTGTAATTGAACAATTGAATAACATCACAAAATATCTATCTGCACAGCAAAGTGATATGTCTATGAGAGCCTGAGGCCTCTGCTTTGCTACATGTCTTTGGTGTTAGTGTAGAATTCATATGACACAAACACTGTTCCAGGTTTCCCCACAAAAGTGAAAACAGTGAACATGGGCTTTTGAGATTTGCTTCTTTCATGGTTTCCTGGTTTTGTTAACAGTTTCAAAATCTGTACCAACTTCTATTAGCCTTCAGAAAATGTGAGAGGGGAAAATATACAATGGCAGCCAATGCATACATGTATTGAAAATAAATGCTGTTGTGAATACTGCTTTGCACAATTTGTTTTATATCGCCTTCTTTAACATCAATCTATTTTTCCCTTACAGTTCTAATCATGTTTTGTTAGCTCTAGTATACCACTTGCCACAGTTTCTCTTGAATAAGAATTATTTGTCTGCCACCCCTATAGATCAGGAGCTCCTGGAGAGCACAGACTTTCTTTTTATCACCTTTGTATCCCTGGTGTTTGACACAGTTTGTGTTTTGAATTCATTCAATATCTGATGTTCTGAATATTGCAGGGTAAAACAAGCTGTAATATTTCTCATTTTCTAAAACATAAACATTGGGTTTTTTCTCTTTGCAAAATGCAATATGATAAAGACGCTCAAATTACTTAATATAAAAAATTTAAGAAATAATTAAAATACTTATAAAATACCTGCAATGTCTATCCTTGCATCCAATATTGTTTCTTTTTATTTTAAATTTTCAGGAAGTCAGCAATTATTTGGAAAAGTCTGATTCTTTTGAGCATTACTTTTAAGGTTTCTCACATGGGGTCTAATCAGCCTTTCATGTAAGGATAATTTTTCTCCACTACTGAGTCAAAGTGTTCATAAATACTCTACCCAATGCCCTCTATAACAAAGATTTTCCACACTAGATTGTGGCAATATCAAACTATCCTCAGCTCTAGTGAACTCTAGGGAGTGCTGTATTTTGATGCATTTCTTTAGAGGGTTGGGTTTTGTTTTGGCAGGCAGTTATATGACTTCCAAACCAGCTTGATGAATCAAAGCCTTGTTTTTAGACTTCTTAATTGTGTGCCTAGGGTATCTTAGTTTTGATCTAATTTAGCACTCTTCCTAGAGTGTGACCCTTCTTGCCTCTACTGAATGTTCCATATCATCTCTACTTAGGCAGGCCAGAACTCAAATTATACCCAGTTTTAAATGAGTTCTTGAAAAAGTTTTGCTTATAGCTTCCTTGATGTTATAATCATTTTCTTTGCCGAGCCGTGTGGTATTTTACCCTGTGCTTTCACAAACTAGTATTTAGACATTTATTCAAGGGGACATCATGCAGATGTCTGGAGTATGTTCTCTGATGAGCCCCCTCCTCTCTAATGCTCTATCTGATAAATTCTAACCACCTTGACATCTCCGACTTCTGACCTCTGCCTTACCAATTTAGCAAGACTTCTATGCTGCATTTGGAATCTCTTTTCCTGTGCCAAAGTCCAGAAATTATCTCAAAGCAGAAAGCCAGTGTGACCATAGGGATCATCTAATTTGTTTTACTTCTTTCAGGCATCATAGCCCTGTGCTGGCTTTTAGTATCAAAACAATTGTGTGTCTGTGTATAGAGAGATAGATAGATATAGATATAAAACAATTAATTTTGTTTCGCTGCTATTTTTCTTTTTTTATTTCAAAATATTAAGAGGGTACAAATACTCTTTTGTAACATGGAAACTTTTTATAATGCTTAAGTCAGGGCTTTTAGTGTGCCCATCACCTGAATAGTGTTCATTGTACCCAATAGGTAGGTTTTTACCCCTGTCCTCTTCCCCCTTTCTTGATTTCCAACGACCTTTACATTTCTTTGTGCCCACATATGCCCATCTATTAGCTCTCAATTATTAGAGAGTACATATGGTGTTTGTTTTTCCATTCCTGAGATACTTCACTTAGGATAATGGCCTCCAATTCCATCAAAGTTGCTGCAAAAGACATTATTTCATTGCTTTATGGTTGAGTAGTACTGCATGGTGTATACTGATAAATTGATGGGCACTTGGGTTGATTCCACATCTTTGCAATAGTGAATTGTGCTGCAATAAACATTCAAGTGCAGGTGTCTTTTTGATGAAAAGTCTTTTTTTCCTTTGGGTAAATACCCAGTAGTGGGATGGCTGGATCAAATGGTAGGTCAACTTCTAATTCTTTGAGGAATCTCCATGCTGTTTTCCATAGAGGTTGTACTAATTTGCAGTCTCATCAATGATGTATAAGTGTTCTTTTCTCTCTGTCTACATACCAGCATTTATTGTTTTTTGACTTTTTAATAATAGACATTCTGACAGGGGTGAGGTGGTATCTCATTGTGATTTTAATTTACACTTCCCTGATGATTAGTGGTGTTGACCATTTCTTCATTTGTTTGTTGACCATTTGTCTATCTTCTTTTGAAAGCCTTCTGTTCATGTTTTTTGCCCACTTTTTAATGGGGTCGTTTGTTTTTGTCTTACTGATTTGTCTGGGTTCTTTGTAGATTCTGGATATTAGCCCTTTATCAGATGTATAGTTTGCGAATATTTTCTCCTATTCTGTAGGTTGTCTATTTACTCTGTTGATTATTTCCTTTGCTGTGCAGAAGCTTTTTAATTTAATCAAGTCCAATTCATTTGTTTTTGGTGTTGCTGTATTTTTCTTTGGGGTCTTAGTCATAAATTCTTTGCCTGGGTTCATGTCTAGAAGAGTTTTCCCTATATTATCTTTTAGAATTCTTATGGTTTCATGCCTTATATTTAAGTCTTTTATCCATCTTGAA